TTTAACTCGATGGCCGGTATGGCCGCCAGTATGCCGGTGCAAGCCTTTTGAACGGGCTCTATGTGTGCATAACGCTTTCCTTTCATGGGCAGATGTATTTTTCCAAAAAGAAGAAATCACAGGGTCCCATATCAGGTGAATACGGGGAGTGGTTAATGATGAAAATGTGATTTTTGTTCAAATAATCGTCCTTCGAGTGTTGGATTGTAAGCAATTTTTGGTCGTCAGTCAATTTGTGCGGTACAAACCTTTCGTAAGCCAAAATATTAGGTCAGAATGTGATAAGTTAATGTTTTGGAGATATCCAATCCCATTTCCATGAATTTCAATGGCTGATTTTTGATGAATTCACGCACAGTTTTGATGTTGGCTCTTTATTCGAAGCTCATTTCCGCACCGATAACACAAACATACTGACACTTAACACGCAATAACTTCACTTCCAATAGCTGAAACGTCATGAGATTCTTACTGGACAATCGATAAAGATAGCAGACTCTAACGCACAAGTCGACATACAGATGGCGCCACCAATGGGCGCTAGATTCAAAAAGTCCTGTTTACTTTGGAATTCACCTTGTATATACATATATGTTTTATTTTTTAAAAGTTGTTAATTTTTTCATACTAAACTTTTAAATTTTTTTGTTTTAAATTGTTTAATTCCACTTTTAAATTTAATTTTTTTTTATTTGGCTGAGCATATTAGGAAACTTGATAATTATTCAAATTTTCGGTTTATTTCTTTTTTTCATTATATTATTAGTCCATAAACTAGATTTGTTAATTAGAAAACGAACTATATTTCTTGTCTTCTGCTAGTAGTAACAAGCAATATATTATCTATAATTAAATTTTGTATTATTTTTCATTATTCGTAATTATAATAATAGTAATTATTTTTTATACTTTTTGTTTAATTATATATTTATATTTTATTTATTTTGTTTCATCCATCATTTTTCGCTTCAGAAGTTAAGCTTCACTTGATTCTAATGCCTAAATCGCATCTTCTCTTGCAACACACCACAATTATTAGCAAAGCCTTCGGCATCATCTGCTTTTAATTCGGCTCTAATACTCAACTGCGATCACATATTAATCATACGCAATCATGTCTAAGAAAACATTCTAAAATTTAACAGCACACATAAGCAGAACACTAAGTCACGTTCGCCACTTAACTACACACATACACATACACAAATAACTATTCAATGATTTGCAACGTCAACACTTTGGAAAAATAAAAGCAAAACACCGCAGGTTCCAAGTAAGACAGATTTAAAATGAAAAAAAAAACAGTTAAATAAAAAGCAAAACTAAAAGTTGAAATAAAAGCATAGGAAAATAAGAGAAAAAATCGCGCAAAAGAGTCTGCTGACGGCCAGTTTTGCAAACACACAAATTCTTAATAATTTTACGCTGCGACTGCTGTTGCTATGGTTGTTGCTGTTATTGCCGCTCGCTGCACATGCGGATTGCCAAATGGAAAATTGCAAATGCAATCGCAACCGGCGCAGCCAAAGCAGCCAAATGCAAATGTAATTCAATGCTAGACGCTGAATTTGAGTATCAAAGCGCTGGCACCGGCCATTCAGTCAGCCGCTCAGCCAGTCAACCAGCCAGCTAGCTAGCTAGCCGAAAGCCACTAGACTAAGCGACAAATAGACAACAGCGAGTGCATAGCCACAGCAGCAAAACAAACCAGCTAAGGCGGCATAAAGCCGTTTGGCATAAAAGCCACGAAATGAAAACATAATTAATTTCAAAAATGTACAGAATAATATTTAGTTAAGTCCACCAAAAAATGAAAAAATATAAAATTAACTATAAACAAAATAATAATAATAAATAAGAAATAGAGTTTTTGGTTAGCGGCGGCTATCAATTTCATTTGATTTTTGTGTTTCTGCGTCGCGGCATTTGAGACTTTCGGTTATGGCCGGTTGAGTGGCAGACTTAGACTTGGACTTAGACGTCTTTACTATGATTTACTTTAGTCGAACTGCTCAGTTTTCAGTTGTGACATGAGTTTTTTACGAGTTTTTGGCGTTTCTTCAACAGCACTGTAGTCATTTGTTGGCGCGCAGTGTTGGTGGCACTGCCGCCGTTGCAATAAACAGTGTATGTACTAGTAATATAGTATATACTGTCATATATTTATTTGCATAAGTATTTACTGCTTATTTACATATTTGCAGCGCGACATAATCTATTTATGCCACACTTTTTGCCACAGACTCACATACATACGCACTCATACATAAATATGCAGTCTTATGCACCCACAGACTTGGCGAGCGTTTGCGCTCCTGCGCATATTTATGCTGCAAACTGTATATATACAACATTTTCCGAATACCGGTTTTCATTATGCGCTAGTACTGATGTTTGCGTTGTTTACTTTTGTATAAAAAATAATATTTTTTTCTGGTAATTTTTCACATTTTTTCTAAAACAGTTATTTTTTACAGTAACTGAGATGGAAATTGTTATTAAAATGAAATTTCTACTTTCCACATTCAAAAAGTTCATCAAAAAATATTTAAATTTTTTTCAA